CCACACTCCATCGGTTCCACAAAACACTTTCAATCCTGCAAGTGCGTTTTCGCAGTACTGATTCGCTCATAGTGGTTTATTGGAATGATAAGGTAATTGCTTTGATCTTTTCAGCACTTGCTTGCGAACTTCGACGTCCTCCTTCCAGCGACGAGGAGGACAACGATGCAGACTGGGAAGATGAAGATGCTGCTAAGGTATTGACTTTGAGGTTTTATCGGGGTGTCATTAGTGATCCATGTTGTGGGCGGTACCAAAGCGAAGGTGGCGTTGTAAATAATGTCATGTGCGATGCATGACTATCCTTGAATCAAAGTTTTTCAGGCACAGCCTCATGTAAGGCCAGCAGCAGCAGCTCCACCTCCTCCTTCAATTCCTGTTGCTGAGGAGGTGAGCTATTGACCTTGTATTTTCAATTTTTCAGTATCTTTACAACCAAACCTTCGAGGAGGGGTGTGTCCTTGTGCGAATGTTGAAAGGTTGCGAAGCGCGCTTGCTGAGCAGGGAAAGGGCCCTACTAGCAACACTGTGAGCAGTAAAATATTCTGTTGGTAAAATTGGATGGCGCCGTGCTCTAAAGCATGGCCCGCGACAGGAAGCGTAAGTAATGTTTTTGGAATAAGAGAGAAAAGTTGCCAAAGACTCGTCTGTGAAGAGAAAATGCAAAAGGGAACTCGGAAACTCCTCTAGTAGAACCCTTCTAGCGTTGAAGGCAAGCCGTGCACTCATTCGATAGATCCTGTTCATTGTCATATGTGAGGTGGAATGGTCCGCAACTGCTGTAGCATGCCATTTTCTTCACTCATGCTCGGAAATGAATAGGGATGGGGGGGTAAATGTATCCGATTGCAATCTCCATACTCTGCTCGCGCTGCCGCACAGCCAGCCAGCATTGTGCCTGACCATAGCTACTTGTCTGAACCACCTCGTTCTGGCTCTGGCTCTTTTCTGCCGCTAAATCGTGTTTCGCTGCGGGACTGGCATCCACACAAGTGCTACACACAGG